GTGTGTGTGTGTGTGTGTGTGTGTGTGTGTGTGTGTGTGTGTGTGTGTGTGTGTGTGTGCATGTACTCTAGCTGTCATTTAATCCATCCATCCTCATATTGCACATCCACTGCTTCTCACAGACTACTGCACATTCCTGCACCTTCCCAGGGTCCCGGGGACCCAGGGTGCATGACTGCAGGGCAACACTGGGCTGCAGGGGGCTGGGGTCATCCTCCATGGTAAGTCTGTGATGAGATGAGATCCAATAGATGTAAATGGGCAAGAGCGAAGAAAAAAAAAACTTTATGACAACCAGGTTTTTAGAATCTAATAGACCCTCACTCTAGTCACTCACTGAATCTTGATGGGAGTGTTCCAGTTTTTGTGTTTTAGCTGTAGAAAGTGATCTGAGGTGACATTTCTTCTTGTGAAGGGATAAAAACTAAAGATGTATGAAAAACAAGGACTAGATCAGAAAACATTGAGCTATTTTCTGTCATTATTTAAATTTTTTTAATTGTAAGTGAATATCTAACTGACTAGACCTGCCAAACATGCTGATTTGTGGGTAGCCTATTGTCATTGAGTTTGCTGCCTTCTTTTCACAGACAGCTCAAGAGAAATATAAGCATGTCAGAGGGTAAAATTCAGAGTCAAGATTATCGCTGCAGCTCACTGTCTGCTTTAAGATTCAGTAAATAAGACCAACATTACAATAACATGGTTTCATATTTGGTTGAAAATTTAGAGAAAAATTGATGCAATTAGCATTGTAATACAAAATCCGTCGTCCGTCCGTTTTCTGCCGCTTATCCGGGGGATCGGGTCGCGGGGGCAGCAGCTTAAGCAGAGAGACCCAGACTTCCCTCTCCCCAGCCACTTGGGCCAGCTCATCTGAGGGACTCCCATGGTGTTCCCAGGCTAGCCAAGAAATATAGTCCCTCCAGTGTGTCCTGGGTCTTCATCTGGGTCTCCACCCAGTGGGACATACCCGGAACACCTCACCAGGGAGGCGTCTAGGAGGCATCCTAACCAGATGCCTGAGCCACCTCAACTGGCTCCTCTCGACGTGGAGGAGCAGCGGCTCTTCTCTGAGTCCCTCCTGGATGACTGAGCTTCTCACCCTATCTCTAAGGAAGAGCCCAGACACCCTGCGGAGGAAACTCATTTCAGCTGCTTGTATCTGTGATCTCATTCTTTCGGTCACTACCCAAAGCTCGTGACCATAGATGAGGGTAGGAACGTATACCGACTGGTAAACTGAAAGCTTCACCACGACAGACCGGTACAACGCCCGCATCACTGCAGATGCAGCATCAATCCACCTGTTGATCTCCCGCTCCATTCTTCCCTCATTCGTGAACAAGACCTCGAGATACTTAAACTCCTCCACTTGGGGCAGGATCTCCTCCCCGACCCGGAGAAGGTCCCCTACCCTTTTCCGACTCAAGACCATGGTCTCAGATTTGGTGGCACTGATCCTCATCCTGGCTGCTTCACACTCGGCTGTGAACCGCTCCAGCATGAGCTGGAGATCACGATCTGATGAGGCCATTAGGACCACATTATCTGCAAAAAAGTAGAGATGTGATCCTGAGGTCACCAAAATAGATCCTCTCAACACCTTGGCTGCTCCTAGAAATTCTGTCCATAAAAGTTATGAACAGAATCTGTGACAAAGGGCCACTTGGCAGAGTTCAACTCTCACCAGAAACGAGTCCGACTTACTACCAGCAAAATAATAATTATAAAAAAATAAAAAAAGTAATAAGATAAATAAAAATAATCATCTTTATGTGATATTAAAGACATTAAAAACATTTATAAACAAATCACATCAATTAATCACACATAAAAAACTTCTGGATTTATTTATTTACTGTTATTTAACCAGGCAGGTCCCGCTGAGATCACAGATCTAGGGAGGCCTGGGCCTGAAGACAACCTATTGTACATGTTTTTTTTTTTTTTTTTTTTTGGGGGGGGGGGGGGGGGGGTTGGATGTATTTTGTACCTGTGATTCTGCTTGCTGTAAAGAAGTTGATTTCATGCAGATATCTTTATCATCTGGCTGAAACTCTTCA